TCTCCCAATTAAATGAATACCAAAACAATCATGGACTTTTAACAGAAGCATAAACAAGCACTGTACATCCTTTATTTAAATTCTGAGCCATTTTATAATGTCTGTACAAAAAGATGGGTTGAATATTGAAATGACGGGTGTGTATACAAAAGCAGATGGATGTATTTTCAGTGGACAATATTCTTTAAAAAGAAATGTATTTCTAGTAAGCAGTTTTACATGTTTTCTCTCTTTAAAAACAGAAGCATTTAAAATAAATGCTGTGTATAACTTTAAAGTGACCCAGGGTAGCTATAAATTATATTAACAATTTCCTTTTGGCAGTGTAGGATTCATTCACTTATTTGCCTGGCAAGAAGCTTTTCAGATAAGTTAAACAAGCCAGTCATGTGAATTGTCTCACATTTAATTTACCACAAAATGGTATTTTCCTAATAGAAAATAGTATTATGCAAATACAGCTCTTGATGCTATATAAAGGTGGGGATTAAGAACAGAGGTGGAGTTTGCGGGGTTATAGAAGGAATATGCTTTTATGTAGTTCCCCATATTTTTTTCTCAACTGTATACCGTAAAATCGTGAGTATAATGCACACTTTTTTCCCGTTTTTTTTTTTAGCATCAAAGTTGGAGTGCAATTATCCATAGGAGTTTTTTTAAAAGTTTTCATTTGGCAGTTCCGCGGCAGTTAATTAATCACTGGACACCAGAGGTTAAGTTGTTTTTTATTAGCATCAACAAGCAATTATATACACAGTTCCAAAAAGGTAAGTTAAACAAATGAAATCAACACTGCAGTGCAAACAAGCAAATATGTTAATTGATCTTCTACTCATCTTCGAAGCCCTCAAATTTGCTTTTGTTAGAATCTTCCTCAAACAGACGAGCAATATCTTCTGAGGTATAGCCCTTGACATCTTCATTCAGGTAATACAAATCATTGTCATCTTCGCATACCGGTAATTCACCCTCGGCCAATTCATCGTCACTTGGATCCATCCACAGGTCATCATCCGCCCTGCCATCCAAGGCATTAGAGATGCTGCATTTCAGAAACCTCTTCCTTATGATAGCGGGATCAAGTTCAAGCCAGATATCCGCTATCCCCTGGGTAACATCGTGCAGCGTCGATGTTCTCATATTTCCACCTGCAGTAAATGTATGTTCACCTTCCAACAACCAGGTGTTCCATTTCCTGCGTAGTACATCTTTCATTGGCTTGTTAACTGTCACGTCAAGCGGCTGCAACTTTTTGATCATTCCACCAGGAATAATTGCCAAGTCTGTTTTGTCTTGCTGGAGCCTTTTCTTGATGGATAGCATACAATGACACTGAAATGCATCCAAAACTACTAAAGACCGCTTTCTCTTAAGTCCACATGGCCTCAATCAATCATTAAAGCTTCATCAATCCAGACTTTAGAGTGAACACACACGTGAACAGTGTTCGGGAATATAACATTCTTTGGCATTGTCTTGCTCTTGAACACAATATAAGTAGGCAGTTTCGTTCCGTCGGCCATGCAAGCAACCATTACAGTAAACCTAGACTTTTCGTGGCCTGTGGTTGCAATGGAGACTGTCTTAGCACCTTTCATTTCAAGCGTTCTGTCCTAGGGATTATCACAATTTAATGGTGTCTGATCTGTGTTACCAATTAATGAAAGGTCATAGCAGTGCTGCTTGTATAGTTTTATGATAAACTTTTGGAACTGTAATAACTTGGTGTCTGAGGCCATGGGTAGCTTCTGTGCGATTGTTGTTCGGTGTCGAACCGATAGGCCATGGCGATTCATGAACCGATCGCCCCAGCCATACAAAGCTTTAAACCCGGCTGTGTTAGCGCATGTTTCAGCAATCCATTCAACCAGATTGGCCTCCAACTCAGGATATGCAGCGCTTTTACCTCACTCAACCATCTTCATCCGAGGCAGCGCTTGCAGGCGCTCTTTCTGCTGTCTCCAAAACCGAATGTTAGACTCTGCTATGTCATCAAATTCACGGCTGGCAGCTCTGTTGCCATAAGCCTCAGCCTAGCTAACAACTTTACGTTTTTCAGCAGTCATGTAAGATCGCCGACAACTCATGGCATCCCAAAGAGAGCATGGAAACGCCGCGCACTATGTACTCGTGCGCTCACGCGTGATGACCCAGCAATACAAAAAGGCAAGACAAAATATGGCAAAGTTGGGGTGCACATTATAGATAAGAGTTCAGTTTATTCCGGGATTCTGACATTTAAAAGGTAGGTGCGCATTATGCATAGGTGTGCATTATACTCGTGATTTTACGGTAATTTATTCAATCAAAAAACTGGTATAAATTCAGCTAGAATCCCCATGTAGAGAAGGGCTTTCCTTTTTGATATTCTCCAAGATTTCCTACTTGACATTTAAACATAAAACACATTCTAAATGCTCTGTTGTATGATGAGGGCCTCATTTACTCTCATTTCTTTTTTCACACGAGATTCCATTTATAGAATGGTGTCTTTCTTCTCTGTTGCTGATGGTGTCTGTCATTAGAGTTGTTGACATCACTATACACATTACAGCTTCTCTGAAAACTGCACAGTTTAAAACTCATTTTCTGCAGCTTCAGAAAACTTTTTTGGGGAAAAAAAATCATGGCTGAAGTTGAATTACATCTGCTTCAGGCAGGAAATGAATGGCTGTGATGCTACCAGCTCCCACAAACCAGTAGTGACTAGGATGAATCAATCCTTCGGTATTAGTCTTTTGAGAATCAGCTACAGAAGAAGTTGTTGAAAGTTGTATAATTCATTAAGTATTATTCTTGCCTCCTATCTCTGCACTGAGTCAGTTGCTTCCAGATGATGATGAGAATACTTTGCTTTTGGAGATGCTGACTTTCTCATAAATTGCAAAACTCTGGAAATTAAGGATGACTTGGCATTTTTTGTAGGAGGAAGGGTGTTAAACCAGGTGTGCTAACCAAATTCCAACTTAGGTATCAAAATTCCACTGGCATTTAATTTTAATAGAGTATTTTTTCTTTCTTTCCTAAACTGTTATATAATGTTCTTGTGTGCTGTTAAACAGGTGTCACCTTTCACCCAAGAACTAGCTGCTTTTTGGTGGTGTCATTTTGCTATCGAAATTTCTGTACACCATTTAAGTTTGCAAAATATTTAGGGATCTTCCAGAATGAAGGGTACTGTATAAATGGAAACTATTATTATTATCCCCTTTCCCTATAATGAATTTCTGGTTTTGCAGTCATTGGGGATTAGAGGAGAGCATCTTCCCTGCCTACATACAGCATAATTTGATGGGATTTTTTAAATGAATAAACCCATTTCTTCCATTGCATCCCATATGACGACGATTGATGGAGGCCAAAGACTGATTTCAGACCTGCAGCTTGATCCATAAGTGCTGAAAATGAAAACAATTATTAATTAATGTGTGCTGCTTTCATCTTTATAACTCGCATGTCTCTCCTTGATCTCAGTGGTCTGTGAGCTCCTGACAACTCTCATACCCGATCTTGTCATGGGCTAAGACCTCCCATCTGTTCAGGTTGCAAGAGGTTGGCTTTGAGAATGTCTTTGTAACATTTTCTTGGTCTGCCCCTAAAACAAGTTCCAGGCTACAATTCTCTGTAGAAGATGCTCCATATGGACCACACGACCACACCATCTTAGCTGCACTCTAAGGCTATGTCTACACTCGCGGCTTCTTGCGCGAGTAATATGCAAATAAGGCTAAGCGTGGAATATTGCCGAGCCTCATTTACATACCTAATGAGCCACCATTTTTTTCAGAAGAGGCTCTTGCGCAAGAAGGGGCAGTTTCTCATCATTGTCTTGTTTTGTTCTTCCTCTTTTGTTAATTTTGTTAGCACTGTTTCCTTTAGGGTCATAGTATTGTATATACAAATTCCCTTAGTATATCTGTAAAGCTGGGCTGAAGATGAGGTCTATTCCAACCATAAAATCAGAGTTGTGGGTGCTCAGCATTTTACAGGATTATAATCTTAATTGGTAAAATTCTGTAGTCCTTTTCCATTCCAATAGCATTTTCTAAAAGAGCTCTCCAACCATAATCCTCATCCAACCCTATTTATTTCATTGTTAGTGTACCCCACTTCAGCAGTTCTGAACTCAAAATACTATATTAGAAAAATCATTAAAACGGATTCTTCTTTTGATGTTCCATAGTTTGGTGCTGCTTAACTTTGATTTTATATTGTTCATTTATTTTTCCCTTTCTCCCCTTTATTGCAGGTAGGCATCTATGAAAAGGGTGGGGATTTGTCGCAGGCTCTGAAAACAGAGGACAGTTGGAACAACATAAATTCAGAAACAGAGATGCAAAAGCATCTTGTTGAAACAGGGTGACCTAATTTGTGTTTAAAAGTGTCGCTATTTTATTTAGCCATGTGATTTTTTTTTAACCAAGATAATTATACCAGTAAAAGTCTTATTGTGAATACAGTTGTACAGGTATAAAAATGGCTTTTATCTGTAGAGTCATTCCTCTTCTTATATACTTGTTTAAAGCATTTGCATAATCCTATAACTGTGTGTACATTAGGAGAGAGGGTTGTACCATTGGAGCTATAGTGATAGTCCTTGTATGGACAAGCCCTGAGTTAAAAGTTGAGTGACTTCAGGTTTTGGCAGGGGCATAAACTGGTTAAACTCCTAGGGCTTTTTCCCCCATTTATACATAATGGGAAATTTTATTCTCCAAATATTATTCTCTTCTTAATGATAATTTATATTATAGCAAATCCCAATTTTGCCCATTATAAATTATCAAGGATGACCAGCCATACACAATTATATGTTTTAATAAAATTGAATTGCCTGTTGTATAATTATTCTTTTTCGTTATTTAGAAAACATAATTTTGTTCAGCACTCATGTGTAACATTTTAAAAAGTTAGTTGTAACTTTTAAATTGTGAATGATTTAAAAAAATACTTTCAAACTGCACATCATTTCGGCAAATATTTAGATTATTTTTATTTTTATTTGTTTACACATTTTTTGCATGCACAGTTATAAGCAATTTGCAAGACAAATATGGCATTAAAGGGTCATGAATCTATATATAAATCCCAAAATATCCACATGAGACTGTATTTCATGATTGCTGAAAGGCAATAGTGAACAGTAATTCAGGCCAGCATATGCTTTTACATTTAAATGAATAAGAAAAGGGTACCATGGCAAAGAGAAGAAATAGATAAATGGGGACAGGGAGTGAAGTGGAATCTCCCTGTGAATGTGGAGGCAGAGGTATAGAAAGGGGTGTGAGTGGACTTACGAAGACTTGACAGCAGAGTGTGTATATGTGTGAGCAAGCCCATTGCAGACTGAGAAGGAGGGTCCCGGGTGTTCCTATCTACTCCAGGACCTTGCTAGTCCCTCTGGGACCTGATCCCTGCTTCTCAACCTGATGCTAGGCCCTGAAGTAGCTATTCCAGCCCCTCTGGGTCTCACTTCTGCCTTACAATATTTTACCACCTGGATGCTAGCTTCCCATGCTGATTATAAAAAATAGTGAGCAACAATAAGAACAGTGACTCAAATGCATTGCTGACACATTATTGAATTTGACTCACTGAATATGAGAGGGATTTTCTAATTTTTCTAGCAAGGAAACTGAGCTTTATAGTAAAGAAAAATAAATGAAATCCAGATTTGAAAGAAAATGTTCATTAACAGGAACATAATTACAGGAACTACCAAACTGGATCAGATTCAAGTCCCTAGTTCAGCAACCCGTCTCCATCTGTGACCAGTACCAGATGCACCAGAGGAAGGTGCACAAAACCTTGCAGTAGGCAGATATTAATTAATTTGTTTCCAGTAAAGGTCTCATCATTCTATTCCCTAACAGAAATTGGTTTAAACTTTGTTGCATGTGATTTATATGTAACTTTCATATTCTTTTGTTATAATTAACAATGATGGCTGGTCAGGTTGCCAGGTGTCCAGTTTTCAGCCAGAACACCCAGTCAAAAAGGGACCCTGATGGCTCCAGTCAGCACTGCTACCAGGCCATTAAAACTGCAGTCAATAGTAGCTGTGGAGGAGGATGCCAGTGGTGAGAATAATGCACAGAGCCCCCTGGCCATAACTAAATCTTGGAGTTGGGAGAACATGCCAGCTGCTTCTGTGAGCAACCAGAGGTAAGTGCCAATGGAGCCTGCACCCCAGCCCCAAGACCCCTTGTGCACCCCAACTCTCTCCCGGACCCCCACTTCTAGCCTTGAGGACCCTCCTGCACCCCAAACCCTTAATCTCAACCCCACCTGAGAGCCTGCACTTTAGTCAGAGCACTCACCCACCCCTCTGCATCCCAACCTCTTGCCTCAGTCTGGAGAAAATGAATGAGTGAGAGTGGGGGAGGGATTGGTATGGAATGATCAGGGATGGGGCCACAAGGAAAGGGCAGGTACAGGACAAGGGTGTTCAATTTTCTGCTGTTAGAAAGTTAGAAACCTTAATAGTAGGATATTCTGATTATCCATATAATTGCTGAATGCTTCTTTGAATCTTGCTAAATTCTCAGTTTCAACAACACCCTGTGGCAATTAGTTCCAGAGTCTGCCTTCATGTGGTATGAAATATTATTTCCTTTCTTCAGTTTCAAATTTGCCACCTATTATGGGAGATGCCACTAGGTGAGGCTTCCAATGTTATTGAAAATTTAAAAGTATAAGCTATCACTTTAAATTCTATAGAGTTTTCCTGGTCCTGCAGACTAAAAGATGTCTACACTGCAATGTAATATCAGACTCAGGCTTGAGCCAAAACCCCTTTTCCATCTACACACAAATCTCTCAGACCTGGACTCAGGCATAGGATCCTAGAACTTTGAAGGGGTGGAGTGTCCGAACCTGTGTTAAGCTTGTACCCAGGGTTTGAGTTCTGTTGCTTTGTAATATAGACACAGATCCTCTTAACTTGGGTCTTAGGTGTCTGCCAAAAGCACCCCATAGGCCAACTTCATTTGTCTTCTTTATCCCAAGAGTTACTAATAAACACAGCTGAAAATGGAAGCCATCCTCGTTGGCATTCAGCAGCAGCTCAGTGAATCAGTGTTAATCCTTCTGTTTTCCTTCTAAATGCTGTGCTGCAAACACTTGATCAGAGAGCCTTCTGTTTGCAATGGAGACTCAACAGAAGAAGACTTTTGCAAAGCAGGTGACTTCCTGGACATGGGAGCACAGCCAAATTTTGGTGAATCTCTGGTGTAAGGACAACAAAACTGGACTTTAGTAAAAGATTCTAGGAATGACCACACATACCAGCAGAAAGCTAAAAAGTTCACTACTTTGCAAATTTACCAGTGCAAAGAACAGGTTAAGTAGCAGAAGTGTGAGTGCTGGAAAATCGGGGACCAGAATACTGGGTAACTCACCAACCCCATGCCTGTTGTATGGGGGAGTTTGACTCTGCACTACCCAGAGCCAGCCATTGTGTCTGCTGGTTTGGTCAGCCAGGATGGTTCCCTGAAGGCCCCCAAAATTCCTTCTAGTGGTGGATGAGAGCCAACAGCAGGCATCAAGTGAGGACTATGAAGTAAATCTGCATCTGAAACCAGGCCCAGAGCAGGCTTTGGAACAGGAGGATCAGCAGCAAACTCTTGGGCTGTACTCAGAGGAGAAATTTGACCCCTCCCTGCCTTGCCCATTGCAGTGGGGCCTGCAGGAGACATGGATGGGACAGAAGCTGCCCCTGAACCTGGTAAGTTTCTGGCTCCATTTTAATGGTTATTAACACAGCAATGGCTGGAATTGCCATTCTATGAACCAATGCTAATCTTACCAGAAGCCCCAGCTAGCAGCGTGTTTTCACTAATGGCAGAGTTAACTGCAGCACCTTGTCCTTCCCCCCTCCCCTCATCATGTGGAGTTCAAAACAGTGAAAAACAGCTTTAAAAGTGCATTTTTACTGGAAAGACGCAGCTGTTTTGCTAGGGCCATTCTGATTTCTTAAAAATAACCTTATGCTGCTATGCCTTTAAGCTTACCGTTCTGTTACTACAGTTTATAGAGCTGCCTGAAAACAGTGAGCTCTTTGTGCATGTGTGAGTGTGATCCATTTACAAATCTAGTCTATTTCAGTCAGAGGTAGCCCATGCACTCTACAGGTGACAAAATCATTTCTCCCATATGTGATTGGGGTGTGAATTTCTGTCCAAAAATGTGCCACGGGCTTGGAGTCAGGAGGCTTTGGACATCTGTGCGTTTGCATACAGCCAAAGCAGGCTAAGCCATGTGGAAGCTAATACAGCTTTCTTTTGATGCCCCCTTATGAATTCTGACCAAATCCCGAGTAGCAGGTACCTGATGCTGAATTGCAACCCTATCTACAAACTGTTCAGTGAGCCTTAGTCTTTCCTCCTGCCTCTCATCATGCCTTTCCTCGAGGAATAAGTCCCTCTGTTTCTGGTACTGGACCTGCTTGTTGGCCCTATCAAGTACTACAACCATTATTTCATCATGGAAATGCCTCCTCTTGGAACAGTCCGTGAAGGTACATTGAACCAGGCTTGTATATTGAAGGTGAACTGTAGAGGTGCTGTGGCCACTAGAGGTTGAGGGGCATAGGTTACTGTCTGAAATAGCTCAGTGGTGGAGCACAGAAATAATTCTCATGGAATTTCAAGGAAATAAATGTTACATTTAAAAAATGAATGTCAATATATTGTTCACAGATTCTCCCAGAACACAGCTTGGTTAATCACTGTGAAAGAAGTTCAAAGACAATGGTAAGTTAAAAATTCAATTTTTTAATTTATTTTATTAAAATTGCAGAAATCTTTGAGTTGGAGGAGGGCAGTCGGTGACTTTGTTACAAATGCTTTTTCTATCTTTTCACATTCTGGAGGACATAGAAGTTCTTTTGAGGCCTCTTAGCAAAGGGTGGGAAAATCTGCTGCTGAAGTATTCAAACATGTACGTCTACACAGCACCCTAAACTCGAAATAAGATACAAGTGTTTTGGAGGACAGGATTATAATTCAGAATAATCTGGACAAACTGGAGAAATAGTCTGAGGTAAATAGGATGAAACTAAACTAGGACAAATACAAAGTACTCCACTTAGGAAGGAACAGCCAGCTTCATACAAAATGGAAAGTGACTGCCTAGGACAGAGGAGGGCAAAAGCCTCTCAGCTGGCCGGATCTGGCCCACCTAGGGCTTTGATCCGGCCCGTGAGGCAGTTTCAGGCCCCGCCCCGCAGCACATTGCCTCAGAGTGGGAGAGGAGCGTGAGCCCTTCTAACTGCTTCTATTTAAAGGGCTCGCATCTTCCCCATGCCTTGCCTAGCAGCTGCTGGCTCCCATCTCTGGCTCCCTAGCAGTGCACTAGTGTACTAGTGTATTGCCAGAAATGCATGATTCCTTTCAGCTGTTTCTATTTAAAGGACTTTGGTGTTCCTCGCGGCTGCTAGGCAACGCTACCTTACAGGTGCGGGGAATGCATTAGAGGCACAGGGAGCTGCGAGCCCTTTCAGCAGTTTCTATTTAAAGGGCTCTCGTGTTCCCTTCGGCTGCTAAGCAACGTGTTGCCTGACAGGCACAAGGAAGGCACCAGCCCTTTAAGTAGAAACACTTATCAGGGCTTGCAGCTCCCTGTGCCTCTGGTGTGTTTCTCGGGAGCCAGAGACGTGAGCCTTATCAACTGCTATTTAAAGGGCTCACCTGCTGGGTGGCTGCATTGCTTGTCAGCCACCCAGCAGGCACAAGCCCTTTAAACAGAAGCAATTGAATAGAGCTCATGGCTTTGCCCCACTGGCCCATTGCCTGGGAGCTGCCTGGAGGCACAAGCCCTTTCAACTGCTTCTATTCAAAGGCTTATGCCTGCCAGGCAGCTGCCAGTCAACAGGTTAGCAGTGGGGGCCAGAAGCTGAGAGCCCTGTTATATGAAATCTAAGCCTCCACCCCAGACAACTCTGGGAGGAAGCTAGTCCCTGGTACCCTCCCTTCTGCTCCAGGTCCCTTCCATTGGACAGAAATCAGGGGGCAGAGACCCCAGGCTAAGCAAGGCTTATGGCAAGGTAGCTCTCAACCACACCCCTTCCGCCTGAGGCCCTGCCCTTTCTTTCTGAGGCCCCACCCCTTCCACCTGAGGCCAGTGGCCACTTCCGAAATTTGCGAAATGGCTCCCCTTCCAAAAATTATTGCTCACCCCTACTCTAGGAAGGAGTACTGCAGAAAAGAATCTAGGGGTCATAGTGGACCACAAGCTAAATATGAGTCAACAGTGTGACACTATTGCAAAAAAATGCAAACATCATGTGAGGATGTATTAACAGGAGTGTTGTAAGCAAAATACAAGAAGTAATTTTTTCACTCTACTTTGAGATGATTAGTCCTCAGCTGGAGTACTGTGTCCAATTCTGGGTTCCACATTTCAGGAAAGATGTGGACAAATTGGAGAAGGTTCAGAGAAGAGCAACAAAAATGATTAAACATCTACAAAACATGAAAGTATTCAATTAGGTTTAGGTTGCACATTAGGAAAAATTTCCTGTCAGGTTAAGCACTGGAATAAATTGCCTAGGGAAGTTGTGGAATCTCCATCATAGAAGATTTTTAAGAGGAGATTAGACAAACACCTGTCAGAGATGGCCTAGATGGTGTTTGGTCTTGCCATGAGTGCAGGGGACTGGACTTGATGGTCTCTCAAGGTCCCTTCCAGTCCTAAAATTCTATGATTAACAATATCCTATTCTACTTGATGATTGTGAGGCTTGTGACAGATTGGGGAATACGTCTATGTGAATGTATTAATTTTGTTTGATTGTATGAGCACTGTTTATGGTTATGAACTTCATGTGGATTAAAACTTCCATTATGTGGTAAAAAGCAGATTATGTCTGGGAGACGGAAATAGGGCTACCAAGGAATTGCCTTGTAGTTTTTATTGTTTTCCATGGGTCCGTTAACTGTTTTGTATTGTCTGTGGGGAACTGTGTATGTTCAAGGAGTTCCCTTGAAAAGCTTGTGTTCCTTGCTTTTACTGTTGCATAGTCCCTGAAGAGTTAAACTGTCATCCAGAGGAACAGCATGCATTAGCTGCTGGGAAAGGTTGGGAAGTTCATTACTGGTCTTGGTGTGAAGGGCAGCTAGACTATGGGGTTCCATATCCCCAGGAGGGATACCCTTTGAGAAGCCTGTGCCCCAGGAGTGTGTCCTGTGAGGCCAAACCTGGAGATAGCAACTGGAGACTATCCATTTCCAGACACTGGGGACAATAAAACAGATTGGTGACTGTCACAAGAGACACTCATGTAGGGAGGTGGCAAATCTTTCAAAGTTAGATCAACCATTAGTAAGTGAAAAACCCTATGTACATGCTAATTATTGTTTTTGACCATGATCCAGTTTAAAGCTGTTTTTCACTGGGAGAAATCCCAGGATAATTTGGTTGGGAAGGTTTTGACAGCTGATGGTTTGTTTATACCAGGGTACAACCTGCCAGAGGGGCTTAGGAAGGTGAGGGCTTTCATGTTCATTGTTCAAGGTGGAGGTGGAGCCCAGAAAGTGTGGGAGGTTGTAGCTGTGTGTTGGGGGGCAGATACTAATGGTTGTAGTCAATGATCAGTTTTCAAAGGCTTCCTAGAAATAGGTTGATTTTCTTAGGTACTGAACACTCACAACTTCCAATGGGAAACTAGGTGTTCAGCACCTCTGAAAAGGAAGAGTACTCCAGCAACTTTCATAATCAGTAAATTAACTGAAAATAATTAATTTTATTTGCCACTTGTTTTGTAATCTCTTATCAATTTTCCTCTACCAAATAACAGCAATAGCAACCGTTAGTTATAAAATTAATGCTGTGCTTCCTATCTGGCTTCAACTCCTTAGGGAAATTAATATATTGATTTGTTTTCTTTAGATGTCCTCTGTGAAATAATTTAAAAGCTAATGCCTCTACTATCCACAACAATAGTTTGATCCTGTTGATAGAGGACTTAATGCTGATGTTGTATTTGCAACTCTGAGCAAGGCATAACTCCTCTGGATTTGGCTTGCCAAGATTTCTTTTAACTCTTTACTTCTATCTGACACTATTAGTTGATAGAATTTATACAATTTAGAATGCTTAGTCCTCTGCTTGAAAAACCAGGATATGTTTTCTGCTTTCCTTTCTGAATCTCTTGCAAGAAGGAACATCAAATTATCATCATGATCAATAGTTATTTTTTCTCTTACAAGTAAGTATGAGAAAGAGTCTTTTATTTTTTATGACATTTACTGTAATGAAAGATGTAGCACTGGAAAGTGATATCTTCATTGTCATAGCAAGAAATTTGGAGATCCTCTGCAAGAGAAGCAGGAGGGGTGTTAAGCAGCCCAGGGAACAAGATGGAACCTTGTGGGACCCTGTAACACAATTGCTGTGGGGTCAAGCAGCAGCCCCCTAGCTCCACCTTCTGAAAGCATCTCGACAGATAAGACTGGTATCACCGCAAAACAGTATCTAAGATACCCAACTCCGCCTGGTGCACCAGAAGGATACCATGGTCAATTGTATCGAAAGCCACCGAGAGGTCCAAGAGAATCAACAAGGACACACTCCCCTTGTCTATCTCCCGGCGTAGGTTGTCTACTAGGGCAGGCCAGGCAGTTTCCGTTCCAAAACCAGGCCTGATGCCAGAGTGAAATGGTTCCAGATAATCCGTGACTTCCAAGAAAGCTTGGAGTTGCAATACCACCGCCCACTCGAGTACCTTGCTGAGAAAGGGAAAATTAGCGACTTGGCGATAGTCATTCAAATCACGTGGGTCCAGAAAAGACTTCTTAAGGAACGGTTTTATCATGGTCTCTTTAAAGGCAGCGGGAACCATCCCAGTTATAAAAGAAGCATAAATAATCCCTGTGGACCCAACTAGTCATCCCTTCCCAGCTTGATTTAATAAGCCATGAAGGGCAGGAGTAGAGTGAGCACGTGGTTAGTTGCACTCCTCCAAGCACCTTGTCTTTATCCTCGGTCTGCAAAAGATAAAACTGATAAAAAAAACCGACTAGGAGATGCACTCGACACATACCGTAGCCCCAGGTAAATGATAGCCAGAGTCCAAATCAGACCAGATGCAAGCAATCTTATCTGCAAAATGCTTCACAATCAAGTCACAGTGAATTGCCAAGAACTCCTCCAATGGAATTAGTATGGGCAAATAATTGAAAAACCTCTCTTCTGCATGGCCAATGACTTGATCATTTTCATAACTGAACAATTTCTTCTTTCTGCAGACTCATGTTTCAGCTAGTTCCGCAAGTTTACATTTTTTCTGTTTGTTTAACAATTAACAGTGCTACTTAAATTCATTGTCATAGTAATTTTGTATGTTTGAGTAGATTCAATTAATTTGCTGACATCATCAAGACCAACCATGGAGTCTGCAATTTTTTTGCTTACAGTATTAATTTCAAGCAGTAAATCGTGCCAACCTACAAGAGAGATGGTGAACCAAAAGGAGGAGAGTTCATTCACTAATGATCCAGTTTCTGCATATATCCCAATATCTTTTGTAATTTCTCTTAATTTCTACAGTGCTGATTGCATATTCTGTCTCTGAAACCAAAGAGCTTTGATATTTCCAATTTTGCTTTCCTACCTTGTGTCAGAGATTTTCACATAGTATTTCAGAACTGTCCACATAACCATTGAAGTTGCAAACATTGTGACATTTATTGAAGAATTCAAATTTTTTTTGATCCATGTGAGGTATTTGCTGCATCATTCATCAGTAAATTTTGGGACTAGCATCTGCAAGAAAAAAAATGCCTTGTTTTGTTCCATGAAATAAATGAGTTTGCATATCTTGAAGCTGTCCTCTCCATTATCATGTCCCGCCATTATTATATCCCTGTACTTTGCAGTTATCAAATGTCATACCATGTCTGGATAACTCCTGAAATATCTTGGGACAGGATTCCCAGGGTGCAGCCTTGGACTATGAGGCCATTGTGTCCCCTGAACTCTCTCCAGCCTGGGCTGTCTCTCTCAGTGCCTTGCTAGTGACCAACACCAAAGCCCCAAGTGCTGTGATCATTCAGCACAACAGCATGTGGACCTCCCACAGCCAGGCAGATGTATGCTCCCAGAGCCACTCACAAATCACACACACAGGCACCAATCAGCTCCCACTACTCCCAGAACTGTACCTGAGGAATATACCATCTATTGTATTAATTGGTTCAGCACTTCATCAATGGAACATGGATATACACCAACCTTTGCAAGCCAGAGCAAAGCACCATTATGAAACACTTCAGGCAAATTCACTGGTAAAGATAAACAGTAAAACAAGTTTATTGACTATAAAAGGTAGATTTTAAGTGGCCATAAGTAATAGGCAATAAATCAGAGTAGTTACCGAAATAAAGGAAAATATAAACACACATTTCCTCATTTGTTAAGTTTTACTACACATCCACAAAATGCTAGGTTCTATTCAACTAAGTGAAGAACAACAGCTACAATTTTTTCAAATACAGCTCACAAATGTTATTTTTGAATGTAGACCAATGACTATGAAGTCTGGTCAATTACAGATTCAGTTTTCAGTGCCCCTTCCAGTTTTCTTCACTTACCATATTTTCAATGTAAACATGGCTTTTCTCTTAACTTTCAAGAGTTTTGTGGATATATTCTATTATTGAAAAACCCTTTAACACCAAATTGCAACAAAAACAAAACATTGCATCTACTTTACCAGAATATATGAGAATGTCATAATATTTTCTCCATTTTCCAGTGTTCTTACATAATTGTCATCTGTAAATCTTCTCTTATGCCTTGGAAACCTTTTACTTGCAGCATTGCATCTTTCATTGTTATTTCTTGTTTTGCCATCTATGAATTTAGGCCGTTTAAAAGGAATACTGGAATTTGTGGTATGTCTTTTGAGTTGCAGTTATTCTTTTCCATGTGCTATGATATAGCAACATAACTGTCAAGAAACATATCTTGTTCCTTATTTTCTTATGTATTTCTAAGCTTTTTTTTCTTGATCAGTTTCCTGAACTGATTCTGCGTTTGAAGAATCAAAAGTGCCCAAAGTCAAAACCTCAAGAGCAATTTTATGTCTCTTAATCAGCTCCTTTCTTTTGCCTTGATTTTTGCAGCACCTGATGTATATTTTCTAAAACCCTTAGAGATATTGGGGTATGTCTACACTACCACCCTAGTTCGAACTAGGGTGGTTAATGTAGGCAACCGAAGTTGCAAATGAAGCCCGGGATTTAAATATCCCGGGCTTCATTTGCATCTTGCCGGGCGCCACCATTTTTAAAGCCCCGGTAGTTCGGACTCCGTGCCCGCGGCTACACGCGGCACGGAGTAGGTAGTTCGGATTAGGGTCTCTAATCCGAACTACCGTTACTCCTCGTGGAACGAGGTGTACCGGTAGTTCGGATTAGAGAGCCTAATCCGAACTACCTACTCCGTGCCGCGTGTAGCCGCGGGCACGGAGTCCGAACTACCGGGGCTTTAAAAATGGCTGCGCCCGGCAAGATGCAAATGAAGCCCGGGATATTTAAATCCCGGGCTTCATTTGCAACTTTGGTTGCCTACATTAACCACCCTAGTTTGAACTAGGGTGGTAGTGTAGACATACCCTTGGAGAACAGAGCCTGGCTATGCAAATACCTGTATTTAGAGACAGTGGACAAAAAGGGGATTGAGATGATGCACTGAGGGTCACATTCAGCCCTCTCACATCCCTTTCACGCACTTTCTCATGCATGTGTGCGCACACATGTACATACTCACCTTCTTGTTTCCTCTTTCTCCTTGTAATACAAGAGGACATTCATTTAAATTGAAGGGCAGTATATACACTGAATTCAAAGGCAACTTTTTAGACTTCCCCTATGCTAGGTTCTGTGAGGCTCTCACCCTCCCTGATATACTGTTCTGAAGCACTATAGGTTCCCATTATTAACAAAGATCCTTATTGAATAGTCTGTACAGTCAAAGAGCATTCATATGCCCTGTGCACCTAATTTTGAACAGTAACACCAGATGTAATAGGCACTTGCAACAGTAAAGCAGAGAGACAAAGCTCACCCACCAAAATGGAATATGCCATCTCTGAAGAGCAGAGATGAGGAAAAGGAGGGTCACAGCTAGGGAATGCATCATCCCTGTCAGGAACATGGTGTGAGTGTCTAAGGAGTTCAACCATGACATATCCTGTCTTATTCCGTTTCCATTACCTTCGAAGAAGCACTTTGAGTGTGCAAAGGGCTACATGAATACCAACTATCCCCTATTTTGCTATGTTTAGTCTGCTTTGCAGTCAATTAAAATACTCTTGAAATGAAGGACTGGAGCTGAGGCCTGCCTTCAGATCTGAGGCTGCTGCAGCTGCCAGGTTTGCAGGGTAGGTTGCTACTATATTACTTCTGTCCAGGGGAAATGTGTACACAGCAGCAGCAGCAGCAGCACAAGCTTCACCTACGCCACACTACCAGTGTGCCTCAACTTTCTTCTAAGTGAATCATCTATAAAGAAGGAGGGTAGGTCATTCACTATCATCAATCTTGGACTATCTGTGGACTTGTTACAAATAGTACTAGCTGTGATTATGTTTTTATGATGTGGACAGATTTCCACTAGCAACTGGACTGAAGCCACCAACTTGTTTCAGAAAGGCCCTGGACTCATGACCAAATAGTACCTGGGATAAACTGGTGACAAAGGAAAATGTCTATATCCCACCCACAGCTCCTTAGGGTCTCCAGGTCTCCTCCTCCCTTTACAGATGACAGGAACTAAATATAAACTAAGGGTACATCTATACTTGCTCCCTAGTTCGAGCTAGGGATGCAAATGTAGGCAATCGAAATTGCTAATTAAGTGGGGATCGATCTCGCCAGTGCGTTACTCCGCTCAACAGCTAATTCGAACCAGGAAGTGCACGCTGGGACGCTTTAGTTCAAACCAAACCCCTTGGTTCAAACTAACGTTACTCCTCATTTTGGTTTGAACTAATGCGACCCGGCGCGCACTTCCTGGTTCGAATCAGCTGTTGAGCAGAGTAACGTGCCAGCGAGATCATGCTAATGAAGCGCGGCATATTTAAATCCCCACTTCATTAGCAATTTCGGTCGCCTACATTTGCATCCCTAGCTTGAACTAGGGAGCAAGTATAGACGTACCCTAACATTTTGATCCTCACATGTTCCTACTAAATGTGAAGTAAGAGGTCTGAACATTGGGTAGCTGGGATTGGGAGGGGGTGGAGTGCTGGCTAAAGATTTAACCTTACACTGTCATGAAATTTGTCCCCTAATCCTCCTCCCTACCCACAGAGGATTGTTCCTGATTGACTGGTAACAATAACAGACATTTGGAAAGCGTCTTTCTTTTACCCTTGGGTTTAGGAAACCTTGCAGCAGCAATCTGCCTGGCTTAAGATCTGGAATCTAGCTGTTTTAAAAGTGCTGCCTTGCTGTTTGAGTCTCTTTGCATCTTCCACTGTAATAAATGAAGATGATTTGAAAATTGAATAAAAAATAACATCCTTCTAATGTATTATAATGATGTTCATAGTATTTCCAGCTCCCACTGACCCAGGATACTTTGCCATCCTTATTAAATTTGTTCTTCATTACAACTAGAAAATATCACTTGCACATATTCATTTTTGCTGAAGAATTAACCTTGGTAAATATCCATACAAATCAGAGAGAGACTTAGATCACAACCATGGATCAAACCCTCTTCTGAACTTTGGGGGTATAAGGAAAAAAGGGTGATATCAGAACCAAATCCAGCTTCACAGCTGAATTCCACAGTCAATCCATGTTTTTCTAATGGACCAAACCAACACTGCAGCTCCAAATACCTTCAGTTTTAAGAGTGTTCAAACTCCAGCTCAGAATGATGTAATTTGGGCCCAATTCTAACCTACATAAATGTATTTGTGACAGCAAAGCAGCTGAAAGGTAAAAATCAAGATGGAAACTTAGGCAGCCAAATATAGAAGGATTTTGAACATTTAGAATAAGGATTTGTTATTTTTAAAAGTATGTTGCTAACAACATTTAATATAGAAATCAAGAAAAATTATAAGTAAAGATGTGAAAGAACATATTGTTGGGTCAGTGGTCTTTGTCTTCCTGTACATCTAGGTTTATATGTCATGTCCATCATGCTGTATCAGGGGTGTGGAACCTAAAGCCCGGGAGCTGGATACGGCCCTCAGCTTCCCTGGATCCGGCCCCCGAGTCTCGGGGCTTCCCCTATAGCATTGGAGAGGCAGTTCTGGCGCTCCAGCCACACACCTCCCCCACTGCTATTCCTCCCATGGGACTGGAGCCTACAAAATCTACTAGGTGCTGATGTGTGAGGGGTTGTGGGGAGTGTTTTTGTCCTTTTCAGTCAGAGGCCACATCTGTGAGAGTTTGGGGGTTTTTTTGTTTGGTTGGTTTTTTGCTTCTCACTTGTGTGCATCCCCCAATCCAAAAATGGTTCCTCTCCCCTCCCTTACAGAAGCTGGCCAACCCCCAGCCTAAGATCAAAGGACAAGAGAAGGGGAGGGAGATAAAACCTGGCTGTTAAAAGGAATCAGGGCTCTCACCAACTGGAATCTGACCAGTAAGGTTAGATGGAGAGAGAGAGAGAGAGCTTGAACTATGAGGTTGACTATAGTTTCTGTGTGCTCTGGGCTAAACAGAATACACTATGCCTTCACTGTTGGTGGAATAAATCTTGCAGCTCTTATTGATCAGAAACTGGCCAATGGGAGATACCTGCAGGACAGGCAGTGTGTGTAGTACCTGTTCCCCTACCCTGTCCTCACAGCGTTCAGAGCAGCACACATGGTCCCTGCATCTGGCTGCTCTGAGCATGTGGTGGGGGATGACGGGTAGACCCCAGTCCCGAAGCAGATTCACCTTAGCTCTGAGAACACACAATCTCTTTGGCCTGGTCCCAAAGTTCAATGTCCCTCACTCAGGATAAATATGGCCCTCCGGTCTAGTCTATAAAGTTCAGTGCCCCTCATGCAGGGGAAATACGGCCCTCCAGTCTAGTCTCTAAAGTCAAGCCTTTTTTCCAGTCCTGGAGGCTAGATTATGGGGTGTTGGGGAGGGAGGGGGAACCCGGGCCCTCCCACTCCACCGGGTCCCAACCGTGAAAGTATCCACTGCCTGGTGGTGGGGCTGTCTGCTGGGACACGCCGACCTCCCGGACGTCCTTCCTCCGCTCTAGGCTGCTTCCTACGGATCCCCCGACTGAGGTGACGTCCCAGGGCCGGTGGTTAGAGTTGTGGCTC